TAGTATATAGTCAGGCCAGCCTATATTTTCATGTAGTTATCTATAGTCAGGCTAGCCTGCACTTCCATGAAGTAGTATATGGTCAGGCCTGTCTGCCATTTCCATGCAGTAGTATTCTATGGTCAGGCCGGCCTATCCTTTCCACGCAGTTTTCTATGGTCAGGCCAGCCTATCATTTCCATGTAGCAGTATATGGTCAGGTCAGCCTACTATTTCCATGTAGCAGTATATGGTCAGGCAAGCCTATCATTTCCATGCAGTAGTCTATGATCGGGCAAGCCTGTCATTTCCATGTAGCAGTATATGGTCAGGCAAGCCTATCATTTCCCTGCAGTAGTCTATGATCGGGCAAGCCTGTCATTTCCATGTAGCAGTATATCAGGTCAGGCCAACCTATCATTTCCATGTAGCAGTATATGGTCAGGCAAGCCTATCATTTCCCTGCAGTAGTCTATGATCGGGCAAGCCTGTCATTTCCATGTAGCAGTATATGGTTAGGCCAGCCTATCATTTCCATGCAGTAGTCTATGATCGGGCAAGCCTGTTATTTCCATGTAGTAGTATATGGTTAGGCCAGCCTATCATTTCCATGCAGTAGTCTATGATCGGGCAAGCCTATCATTTCCATGTAGTGCTATATGGTCAGGCCAGCCTATATTTCCATGTAGTGGTATATAGTCTGTCCAGCGTAATATAATTATTTTCATTATCTTAAAAATTCTATAAAATGATTTACGTCAATTTTAATAAGTGATTTGAAAGGCAACCTATGTATCCAAGCTTGATTGGTTACTAAATTGACCACAGACACTGAGTCTTGCCATTATCAAGAGTGATCAGGCTGTCTAAATATAAATGTAATGACAAGACACAAATCTGTTTCTTTGATTGTTATAATATTTGACCCTTTGAATGAAAGTAGTCAGACCAGCTTTTATTACTTGCTGCTCCGAAGTGATAGTAGAATTTGAGAAATTTTAGAAAATAAGTTTATGAAAGTGAAGTACATTGATTCAAAAAGCTATGGTTACTTGTTTATCTTGTAGTATTATGTTTGTGTATATTGTCACTGGTTTTATCGTATAATAGTATTGACTAAAAGTTTGTCTGTACCCTATATACGGCACATGTTACAAGCTGTATATGAGAGAAAACATGGTGCAAGACAACGCGCGCTTGTATTGATCAAGATTTGCCACTTTTACTGAGATAATCTCTTTTTTTCCTGAGACACAATTTGGCTGTTTTTCATTAAATGTGTTGATTGTTATAGCTACCACTTGGATCTTCATGTGATTAAATTTATTTAAAATTCTCATGGCCATACACAGAAGTACGCAATACCACACCATTTTTATTGTAGATGAATATCTTTGTTTCGTTTTAGATGTGACAATATTTTTTATTTTATTTTTTTTTTTTGCATTCAATTACTGACATTGATGATTGTTATTTTATGACCTTGACATCAAGTCATGTGACTGAGTCTATAGTTATGAAACGTTTATATTTCTTTAATACATTATGAAGTGAGAAAAACAATAAAATAGCTAAATTAAATGTCTTCATTATTTTGTATATAAACAAAACATAATTGAAAAAGTTGACATGAATTGATCATGATTTTCGAAATGTATAGTTTTTAGTACCATGTCCAATACCATCTTTAAAATGAGCCTTTGATGGTGGTTTACTTTCACTTAACAACTCTTGTAGGATATTAAACGGAGAGAATTAAAGACATAGATAGAAGTATTGACCTTCAGTTGAAAGCTGAGAACAGTGTTTGTTTACATTGATCATTGATTGGTGTTTGTGGGCGAAAAACTTAGATGAGGCCTCTCTAATGAGATTTGTCATAGTCAAAATTAGGCTGGCAAAGATATATATGTATTTTACCCTTATATATTCCCAAAAAAGGGAAAGATAGTAAGAAAAGAAAGAAAATTATCAGAGAGATAGGGAGAGTGGTTTGATCCCATGTCGACTCAAAATATGTTATTCATATGAACTAATGTATCAGATTGGCTTTACTGTTTAACTCGCAGTGTATTTGTTTGTTTTTTTACAAATTGATTTTTTTTGTTGCTTGATTGGTTTTAAGACAAACTGACACTGAAAAGGTTATAAGATGTTTTTTAGCTTTACTGGTGAAGGAAGACGTACTCAAGTGTTCCTCCCTGTATTATTTTAGGCACAAGCCTGTACCCAAGTAGAACCACAAACCTTTCATATTTAGCTAAATGGAATTTGCTCCTATATATGAAATAAGTCAGTGTCCCTGATGGGATTCGAACCCACAGTGGTGAGGGGTAAGTGAATTAAAGTCTGCGACCTTAAGCACTTGGCAATGGAGGCCTCTTAAGGGGTCAGTTGACCAAGATATTTTGAATGCTACTGATCATACTGATGCCTTTTATGTTTGCGTAACATAGAATCTTTCAAATCAAGTTAACATTTTTATGGATATTAAAATGTTACCTTACTAACAGTATTCATGCAACTACTGATCCAGCATCCTGCACTTTGCTAATAGGACTTCATCAAAACAATTTCAACAGAAGATTCAATATCAGGCAGGGCTGCACATTTTACTAATGTAGTTAAATTATTCTGGTTCATTAGAAATCTCAGGCTGTCAGATAATTTCATTCCTTTTGATGCCTTTTAGTTTTTATCTGTTGATCATTCCTTGTCCAGACTGTGAATTTCTTATCAACAGTGGACTGGGATTGTACCTTCACTAGAAGCAACACTTTGTGAATATTTGTAATATTTGTATATAATGTTTTATGTTTGCAGTTTTTTGATCAATTATATTACCCCTTTATTCTATTTGATACCAACTTCTTGTCCACTCATTTTCCCACCATCTAAGCTCAATAGGGTGAGAATGGTATTAAGAGATCAAGGGGTCTCTTGTAGAGGCAAAATTTCTCTGTGACAATCTTATCTCAAGACACTGAGTGTAATGGTCATTTGTTTCCCACTGCTGATTTAGAAATCATGTTAGATTAGTAGCTGGTCCCAAAAGAAACAAACAAATTTCTCAATATAACAGAATTATACTGATAGCACTAGGAAAGAGGATCAAATGAAGATGGGCACAATATGTTAGTGTTATGGTTCAAACAATTTTTATGGTTCTGTCGCTTTAAAGTTTGTTAAGGCTCTTTTCATGGTTCTTGTCGGGACTTTTTTTATTGTCATCACTTTAAAGAAAGAATGATATGTTTTAAATCCCTTTCAATTATTATATCATATGCTAGAGTTAAAACATTTATTTCTAAATCAGTACAGATGTAGTGGGACTCTGCATCTGTCAGTTTCACAAATATCTTGAACGTATAAAATGTTATTATATTTATATAGATATATTTATATGTATATATATATATATAGAGAGAGAGAGAGAGAGAGAGAGAGAGAGAGAGAGAGAGAGAGAGAGAGAGAGAGAGAGTGTGATATTTTTATCTACAGAATATTGATGTTAAATGTTCCTACTGTAATTATGAAGGAGCTAATATTATTTACTGCCACTTACGAGGTACGTTTAAAAAGTTCATGGACTGATGCTTGCTGTCTTTCTTTTTAACTAGGTTCGTAAAAGCAAACTAGGTTTGCATGAATCGAAAGGGTGTCTTTATTTCTGAAAATGCGTTTTACTTTTATCGTAAACTTTTATTTCCTTCAGGAGCTATATTCACGGCAACGCAACATTGGTGCACACCGAATTATTCATACAACGTTTTAACAAAGACCAATGTTGAATTGAGTAAAACTGTAATTTTTGAGTGAAAGTGTGGTAAAACATCGGTTAACATTTAAGTAGATTAATGTAAGTAATTAATGTGATGAGATGTAACATAGTATCAAACTTTACTTTGACCTGTGAGAATTGTCAAAAAACTCAACTTTTACTGTTTTTGTCATTGATTGATGTACCTTTGACAACTAGAAAGCCAGACTTTGTCAGAAATAGTCAAGGTCATAATGCTAGCTGAGTTGGTATTGATAGATTTTAGCAGGGATAATTTGAAGAATAATGGGTTTGACATAACGTTTGGTTAAGATTTTGCATTGTCCACCATCAATTATTATAGCTCAATAGGGAGTGCATCAGATTAGTAATCCATGGGTCAATGGTTTGGTGTAATTTTCTTGTGTCAATATTGAAATTTTTTAAGTCTAATGGTCATTAATTAATTTTGTCTCTCACATTTGATTCAGAAATTATGTTTGATAAGTAGTTGGTCACTTGCAGAGGAATTGGTAATTACTGGTTAGTTATCCAGGAAAACCAGCTCAAGGCAGAGTGCCCATTAATTCTAAATAAATAGTAACTAAATAAACAGAATGATACACAATGCTAGCAACCTTATTTCTAATGAACCACATAATTGTGGTATTCATTTGTAACTTCACTCACAATTGTCTTTCTTTTTTTGTGACAGTTCTATATACACAACCTGTTAAGGTATGCATTTGAAAGTTTAAAATATCCCTCGGATAATAGTTATATAAGCTCATTGTATTAGAGCCTCAGTTGTAACTCTGGCATGGATTTTCATTGACTTATTCCCCATTATGAGCTTTCTTCTTGGCTCTTTCAACAATTAAGCCGCTGTCCTTTGACAGCTTTTAATTTTGTTTTAACACTTGATTGATAGTTTTAGATGTTCATTATTTTCAACTTTATTTCATTTTCTGTTTTTGGAAGAAAATGTAAATTCTGTTTGGAGTATTCTCCAGTGTATAAATGTGTGAATATGTACTTGTTAAAATATATATACACATTGACCATTATTCTGAGACTTTGTAAATGGAGATAAAAACACCCCCATAAATTGATTCCTGATAGACTTACATGGAAAAGTTATTAACAGAGAGATTATCATATTGACATTTTGCTTATTTTCTGATGATACAAGTAATATTATATATTATAATAAGTTATAATTTAGTCCTTTTATGACATTTTTATTTTGATATATTTTCAGTTACTGGTAGGATTTGAATCTGGAGCCATTGTCCTGTGGGACCTCAAAAATAAAACAGCAGATTGCAGATACCAAGCACCTGAGGTTAGTTCTTCCATATTTTCCTCCATTTTGAGTGTTTGTGGCTATAGTAGGAGGGGACCTAACATTTCTGCTTTTGCTTTTGCCATATGTATGAAAAGTAGAGCATCTTGATCTTCCATGAAGTCTTGACAAGACTCTACACTTACAGCTGCAAGATTTTATATATGAAATGCCTTATATATTGCCTTATATTTTACATTAACAACAAGTTCAAGGTTGAACATTAAGCTACAAGAATTAGCACCCAGGAAAGGCTCGATACTGTTAGATATTATAGGTCGAGGACGTATGGTCACTATAACGCCATTGATGGAGGAAGTCCTTGGACTTAAATTTTCATTATTGTAGAGACAAAAGGATAGTAGGTGGAATCATCAAACTTTCTGTTACATAGCTGAGTAAACCACCTCCGTGGTCGAGGGGTTAGAGTCAATGACTTCTAATCCAGTTACCTCTCTGGCGTGGGTTCGATCTCCGGGAGATGCTTTGGTAGTTTAGCTAGAGGAAGGTAGTCTAGTATTGGTGTAACTCTCCAGGAACGATGGTTACGAAACGACCCGCCTATTATATGACTGAAATACTGTTGGGAAAAGGCGTAAAATGAAACAAGCAAACAAACATAGCTGAGAAGCTTTGTGATTTGAAAATATTCAATATCTATAACATGGTTCTAACCTCCTCCCTGACAAGCAAGAGACTGTCAGTCAAGTGACTTTTACCACTGAAGCATCAGATGGCCCCTTTCTTTAATTGATATTTTAATAGAAAAACTTTGCTTAATTTTAGAATACTGTGCTATCTGCCAGCCTTGATCGCCAGCAAAATCACTGGCTTTAGTAACATTTACTGTTGCTTTCTTTTGTGGAACCGTAATATCACTGGCTTTAGCAAAATTTACTGTTGCCTTCTTTTGCTGAACTGTAATGTATACAAATGCTTCAATATTTAAATCAGGAGTTTTATCAAATTTTTTCTAATGAGAGCAATTTGTTAGAAGTCAGTTTATGAATAAATAGTTAAGAAATGAGTTCAGAAAGTTGATCTGTCTTATATAGACAGCTTTTAATTATTTAAAGGGAGAGATTGTGTGTCATACTTAAATATCTCTCCCACTCATCTTACATCTTCTAATAAATGCTCCCCTTTCAAAGCATTTGAACAAACATTCTGAAGTTATATTGTATTCTTGGTTTAAATTGATTTTTTTGATTTTGAAACCAAACAGATCAGAATTTATTTCAGGACTAATTTAATGCAAACATTGCATTGTCATCATTAATATGAGAAATATAATTTTGAAAAATTCTGGCTGTAACATTTAACATGTTTAGTTATTTGTACAACAAAACTTTGTTGATATAAATTGCACAGCATTTGCATGATGTTTAGTTTTCTTTATACTGAATTGCTGATGAGAAAAAAATCTGTCTCACACACACAAGTATATAAAAATGTTTGTTTTTCTTAAAAGAGAATTTATCTCCTTTTTTTCTGTTTTCGATTATCTTGGAAAAACTGTACTTGACAAATCTGGGTCAGATTTTAAGTTTTATATGGAAAATTGCATCTGTATTGTAGCCGATTGCCAAAAATAAAAAGAGAACTTTACAGATTATAGAAATAGACTTCCATTAAGTCATTTTATAAAAGCAAGCTGTTTTAGGAAATATAATTCTACATATTCTGCCAAAAACAATCTCTTCTCTGCGAGGGATAGAAAAGAATAATGGTGAACTGTGCGGCTTGAAAAGCAATTTTCTAATTACCGTCTTGAAGTATTACCATAAATCTGTTTATGGCATGAATGCAGTCATTGTGTCTAAAGATCTCGAGAATCATTATTGCTTGTACACACAGCTCTGCTTTTATTGGTATTCATTGACAATAGCAGGACAACAAAGTTTGCCTTTTATTGTCAAATTATACATACACTTAAGCAGTATTATTGTTTCATATCGTTGTTTACAATGTTGCCCTGTCACTCACCTAACGCGTTCAATACTTGTTGATTCTTAGGCCAAAGAAAACATACGTTTCTTGTATCCACGCAAGAAATAATAGGTCCTATGGGAAGTCTATTTTCTTTTAATACGAATCCTTGGTATTGAAAATTCTAAATGTAATTTAGTATCTTCTATAACTATACAAGTGTGGAGTGAAGTGTAAGTGGCAAAAGTTACTGTCTGTTGGAAATAAGGAGACATATTTTGCTTGACCTTTATAATCATGGCCGTCATTCTTCAAAAGAAGGCTCATTGTAATACACTATACACCATATTGATTGGCCATCATGTTATTGGAAAAAGAAAAATTGTGACTGTTGACTTAGATAGGTGACAGACATGGCATCGTAACAAATTTTGCTGGCTTAGAAATATATTGGTCAGTTTTCTAGACTGACCTTAATATTGTTAAGTACTTGGGAAAAAGTTCTTTATCGGATGGCTCAATGATTTGACGATTATTGTTTAATTTTGTTTTGTTAAATATAAGCAAACTATATTTTTGTAGTTTTTCTTTGTTTGAAACTGGGGTTATTATTTTGTGTGATTGTCATAGCAAAGAATCAACAAAGTCAAAAAGTTTTCCAAAAGGTACTGATGCTGATGATTTTAAAAATTAAAACAACTGCCCAATACAATTGATGATTAAGAAAATAAGAAAAGTATATTAACTGTTAGGTTCTGGATTGTGTCAGTGTATCTTTTGAGTCCATGTTGTATAGTTGTCATACAGTTAGTTACTAACAGTTATTAAATTTATCTAATGATTAGTAGAATCATGAAATAAATTTAGACTTGAAATCAGTGTATTTTATATAAAGTGAGAACTGGGTCCAAAATTGAGCCAGTTTTGTATTTATAGATGATTTGGACTCAAAATTTAGCCAGTTGATGATCTAAGTAAAAGGTTTACCATATTTAGAATTTCATAGATAAATTCATCAAATTGTATTATCAAGAATTCAGCTAATTCAATATTTCATGAAGATTTTGGCCAAAAATTCAGCATGTATGATACAAATAAATTTTCAACAGGGACGGCATTGGTTGATAGTAACTTACGTATCTTTCAATGCTGATATATATAATTTGGTCAGCAATCTTTGATTATTTGAGGTATTTCTCTCAAATTTATGGAAACATAAACAGGAAAACATAATCAATCGTTTATATTTTGACGTATATTTCAGTCACTGCGGTCTATATCATGGCACCATGAGGGTAAACAGTTTATGTCCAGTCATACAGATGGTAGTTTGTTAACATGGAATATAAAGTCTCAAGGGAAACCAGTCAGTATTATCACACCTCATGGTAAGTTCAATGTAACCTCCGCTAAGAGACCGACCCTCTTTTGAGCATAAACCTCTTTACAACAACAGAAACGACAGATATATTCCTTCTGCCAGAGCAACACTTATCAGTTTTGATCTAATATTTATTTTGTAATATACTTGTTTTAAAAGAATTGATTTTTATCACTTCCTAAGAAAGGTTATAAATAAGGGAACCTTTTGGTGCTTTGAAAAACTTTTGTTGAGAAGGATAGATTATGGCAGATTAACACAGTAACAATGTATTTTATTTCAGCAAAAGTTGGGAAAGATGGACGACCTGATGCATGTAAAGCTATAACCAAAGTGGCGTGGAAGTCACCTAGATCTGGGTAAATAAAGACATTTTAAGCATTTCTATTCATATAGAATTTATTTTCCTAGCCCTGCCTTAGTTTAAATGAACTCCACTGAGGTACAATAGCCTAAAAACATAAAATATGAATTTCGTACATAGATCATTTGGGGCATTTAAAGTAGAAAGATACACAAAAGATAATCAAGAGATGTACTTGAAAATACGTTCAAAATTATATTTTTTTGCAATTCCTAGCCCACTTTGAGTAAAAGCATTACAATGCTTTTCAGTTTTGGGGTATTTTTTCAAAAAATTGAATGATTATTGAGCCTTGCTTTAAAAATTAACAAAAAGCATAGCTGAACATTTTATGTTTGCTGACAAGTTTAAAATCACTGTTATTGCTAGAGATTACTGACAACTTTACATCATCACTGCTTGATAGTGCTGACAACTTAATGGCATCTCAGTTATAACAAAGAGAGTTCTGACAACTTTACAGCATCACTTTTTTGCTAGTGTTGATAACTTTAAGGCTTCACTGTTATTACTAGAGAGTTCTGACAACTTTACAGCATCACTTTTTTGCTAGTGTTGATAACCAGCGATCACGCTAGACCTAAAATTTAGGGAGAAGTGACTTCTCCCTCCAGTGAAAATAGGGAGAAGTTTTTAGGGACAAGGAGAAGTGCATACCAACTGCATTTTTTTAAAGTGTTGATGTTCCATTTCATACTAAATTTTAAGATCAATTAACATTATGTGGAGTGCAACATAACAGTTTTTTAAGTAACTCATAACAATAAACAGAAAAATTACAAATGTGGGAGTTTTTTTTTCTTCTATATCATCTTTATCATAGGTTTTGTGTAGCTTGTTTTGATTTTAATGCTGCAGCCATGTGATGTTGTGCTGAAATAAAAAAAAAAATATTTTAGTAAATCACTAGTAGGCCCCTAGGCCCTATACATGTATTTCATCATTTTCCCCAGAAATATTCATAGGGAGTGCAGAGTCAAAGTTCATATAAACTTAATAAGGTTTATGTGGATGCTTTTTTTTATAAAGAAAACCGTGTGTACAGTTGATAATTTTTTTTTCTTCAACAGACTTTTTCTGCATAATGCTCTTTAAAGTTCTTTAAAAGAATAATAATCAAGGGATAAATCATCACCAACATTTATAACAGAGACCCATTTTCCAAATTGCTGAGACAATTATAAACATCGAAACATGTACATGTGACCAACACTTTTGGCGACACGCTTTTGTAAAGAGAAAATGTGTGAATAAGATCACTAAACTTACCGACTAATTAATGCAATAAGTATGCCCCCAATTTATCCTAATTGACATGAATCGCCACTAATCTGTTTATTTGTTGTTTATTGATATTAAGTCGGCATTTGACAATACCCGAAGATGTCAACCATTCAATTCCAACACTCGCTAAATTGTCTCGCTGCGTTTCATTGGCTTTCCAATTTTACCGACCAATGAAAATGCGTTTAACAAATCGCTTTGAAATAGGAGGAGCGTAGACGATTACCGAGCTGCTTGAAACTTCTAAATTTATTGAAAATTAGGGCTACTTTGTTTTCGCTTTTCTGAGCGATCCGGGCGAAATGGAGAGAGACAAGCGACTTTGTCGCCCAAGTCGCCTGGAAACGTGATCCCTAATAACTTTAAGGCTTCACTGTTATTACTAGAGAGTGATGACAACTTTATTGCAAAAAAATGCTTACAACTTTTTATGCCCCCACAATGTGGGAGCATATAGCGTTGCACTTGTCCGTCCGTCCGTCAGTCCGTCCCGAAATCTTGTGAACGCAACTCCTCTTAAACCGGATGGCAGATTTTGCTTAAACTTACAGGGATGAACAACCTTAATGTGTAGATGGTAGTAAAGGAAGGAATTTTTGCTGCGACCAAATTTAACAGAATTATGGCCCTTTGTTGATTTTTTCGCTAGCTACTATGTAGAAATTTTGTGAACGCAACTCCTCTTAAACCGGATGGCAGATTTTGCTTAAACTTACAGGGATGAACAACCTTAATGTGTAGATGGTATTAAAGGAAGGAATTTTTGCTGCAACCAAATTTAACAGAATTATGGCCCTTTGTTGATTTTTTCACTATATATTCTATGTAGAAATTTTGTGAACCCAACTCCTCTTAAACCGGATGGCAGATTTTGCTTTAACTTACAGGGATGAACAACCTTAGGGTGTAGATGGTAGTAAAGGAAGGAATTTTTGCTGCGACCAAATTTAAAAGAATTATGGCCCTTTGTTGATTTTTTCACTATATACTTTGTAGAAATTTTGTGAATGCAACTCCTCTTAAACCGGATGGCAGATTTTGCTTAAACTTCCAGGGATTAACAACCTTAATGTGTTGATGGCAGTAAAGGAAGGAATTTTTGCTGCAACCAAATTTAACAGAATTATGGCCCTTTGTTGATTTTTAGCTCGACTTTTCTATGAAAAGGGGAGCTATCCTACTCGCCCCGGCGTCGGCGTCGGCGTTGGCGTCACACCTTGGTTAAGTTTTTCGTACCACCCCACTTTATTTCAGAAGTATTACAAGTATGGCTTTGAAACTTACCATACTTGTTCACCATCATAACCTCCATCTACAGACAAGAGTACATAACTCTGTCAAGGTTTTTGACAGAATTATGGCCCTTTTTTGACTTAGAAAGTGTATTGAGCTTGGTTAAGTTTTTTGTACCACCTCACTTTATTTCAAAACCATTGGAGGTATTGCTTTGAAACTGACCATACTTGTTTACCATCACGACCTTCATCAAACAGACAAGAGGACATAACTCTGTCAAGGTTTTTGACAGAATTATGCCCCTTTTTGACTTAGAAAATACATTGAATATGGGTAAAATCCACTTATTGCCTTAACCCTTTGAGATATTGCTTTGAAACTTTTAATGCTATTTCACATCATTACCCCCATCTGTACGCAAGAGAAGGTAACTCTGTCAAGGATTTGTTTTAAAAATTAAGGCCTTTTATCGACTTAGAATCTTGGTTAAGTTTTTAGTACCAGTCAAGGGTATCACACAATTCAGTAAAATAATTCTTCACTAAATATCTTAATGCTCATGGCCATTGTTCACTTTAAAAATACAGAGATTCTTGTATTGCCTTTTACTGCAAAAACTTTTTTTATTGGCAAGCAATAAAAAAGTCGAGCGCGCTGTCTTACGGACAGCTCTTGTTTCATTATATACTATGTAGAAATTTTGTGAACGCAACTCCTCTTAAACCGGATGGCAGATTTTGCTTAAACTTCCAGGGATTAACAACCTTAATGTGTAGATGGTAGTAAAGGAAGGAATTTTTGCTGCGAACAAATTTAATAGAATTATGGCTCTTTGTTGATTTTTAGTTTTCAACTTGTGGCACATGTAGTCCAAAAAATATTTGACCTAGAGTCATAAGATTGACAGAACAGTGGCGTGTGGGGGCATCAGTGTCCTATGGACACATTTCTAGTTTGCATCATTGATTTTGCTAATGAGTGCTGACAACTTTAAGGCATCACTGTCATTACTAGAAAATGCTGACAACTTTTTGGCGTCACTGCTAGAGGGTAAAGTCATTTAAGACTGACTACATTTTTAAGGTTTTTATCAACACAGTAGGTTGAACACAGACTTGTCTGAAAGTAAAAAAATAAGAGCTAAAATCAAAACCAATCTGTATGTGTTTAAACAACATTTGACATAGGATTGTTTAACAATAAACAGTTGGGATAGTGTTGAATATATAGACTTTATATCAAATTAGATAATAGGGCTTTTAGTAGATTGAAAGATATTGGTGAAATTTGGTCAAAAATAGTTATTTTCCAGACAGTGCTAGGTATTATGTTACTCAGATCTCTGATTTTGATCAAATCTCTTGTATTGCAGCATTGGGACTACTTTATCATCATTTTTAAAGATATTAGAAAGTTTGGAGGGATAGAATGATTTTTATGAGTTTTTATGCAGAAACATGTAGAATACATAACTTGGCAATGCACTGGCTTACTTCCCTCAGATTTGGCTGGGAGGTGGTCCTTGAGCTCTAAATTACTACTGTTGATTCTGACAAAGTGGTATGCGGGGTATTCACGCCATTTTCATTGTCAAACTTAATATTTTCTAGAGGTGAAATGATTCATCTTTCACTTGATTTTATTCTCAATTACTGCTTTTTGATTAGATTAATTTCGATTTGATTACTCGGGCTTATAAAATAAATATTTATTTATTGGATTGAAAATTATTTAATGCAATTTATTTGATACGTTTAAGGTTAAGTCGCTGGCTTAGATTATTTATATCAAGGTGAGTAGTCAGAAGAGTTATTGCATGCCTGGTCTGAAAAACAAACAACAACTGAGGGATATATTTTTCATAAATCTTGTCTTCTTCTATATATAACAGTACTACCAATATCGTAGCTATCATTTAGCTATGAATCTTCTAGAATGTTTGAATATACAGTCTGACCTGTGCTAAATGCCACTTCTTAAAATAAATACCTTAGATGTAATGTTAATCTGTTTAAGAAACCACCTGTGAACACGTACCAGCTTTTCCATTTCTTAGACTGGTCTAACTTTATATAGTCAGGTTTGATTAAGAAGAACTGTTAAAAATCCTGTTCAACATAGTATACCAGTTCCTTGTATAACGGGGTTGTGAGATTTAAATCACAGGGATGCAGTCTGACAAAACACATAAATATTTCAGGCTTTGAGTTTTGTCCTTGTTAATTAATATATAAAAATGTTTGAAATGTGTTTGAATAATGCCAAGAAATATATATAATGTGTTTGAAATGTTGCCCATCATCTAGTATTGTAGTAAATGATAATTGTCAAATAAGTTTTATAATCTGCAAATACAGATTATGAGAATGAGGTAGTAGCCTCTGTGGTTCTGTGGTAAAAGTTTCTAAATTGGAATTATTTCCCCATATCATATTGAAGGTTCAAATTAGAATTATTTCCCATATCATTGAAGGTTCAATTAGAATCATTTCCCCATATCAGTGAAGGTTCAAATTAGAATTATTTCCCCATATCATTGAAGGTTCAAATTAGAATCATTTCCCTATATCATTGAAGGTTCAAATTAGAATCATTTCCCCATATCATTGAAGGTTCAAATTAGAATCATTTCCCTATATCATTGAAGGTTCAAATTAGAATCATTTCCCAATATCAGTGAAGGTTCAAATTAGAATCATTTCCCCATATCATTGAAGGTTCAAATTAGAATCATTTCCCCATATCATTGAAGGTTCAAATTAGAATCATTTCCCTATATCATTGAAGGTTCAAATTAGAATCATTTCCCAATATCAGTGAAGGTTCAAATTATAATCATTTACCCATATCAGTGAAGGTTAAAATTAGAATCATTTCCCCATATCATTGAAGGATCAAATTAGAATCATTACCCAAATTTTGCTAGAAACACAGAAAAACTTAATTACATTACAAAGCTCTCAAGCTGTTTTTCAAAAGTTAGTGTGTATACATTGATACGTAAGAGTCTTGCCTTTGAAATAATGTATACATATGTGGTACTAAAAAATCTTTCAAAACTCCCTAAAAGGCATTGAAAATGTCAGTTTGAAGTTAAAAAAAAAACAGCAAAAGCTTTAGTTATTTAATGCTAATAAAATTGTAATATTCATTCAAAAGTTTCAGATTCTTTGGAAAAGTTCTTGTTCAGAACATATATTATAGTGGATCCATATTGTATTTCAATGAGGTTTTTGTACTTACTTTAAGTGAAAGAAAAAAAAATCTCTAGAAAGAAGTACAGTTACACCTGCTACACTCAATTTAGGGAGGGAATCAGATTTGTAATCCAGGGGTTGTAGGTTTGATCCTCAAGTGAGGTGTAATTTCTCTGTGACAGTTGATCTCGGACATTAAATCTAATGGTGATTTGTCTCTAACAACTGATTTAAAAAAAAAAAAACATGTTGGATAAGTAGTTGATCGCACAGAGAAATTGTAAATTACTGGTTAGTTATCCAGGAATGCCAGATAGGTGGATATGACAAAAAAATGTTAAAATCTGTGTTAAAATTTTTTTTTAAAAACAAGTTCTTCACATAGATTAAATGAAATTATAGATGCATGATTTTGATTGGATGATGGGGAAAGATGGGATATATAGATTGGTGTTCTCTATGCTTGCTAGATTTTAGTATTTTCATAGGAGGGTTAAATCAGGATATGTGCATGTTCCATCAGACATACAAGTTTTTTTACTTTCAGATAATAAAGTGAGATGATTAATGGGTTAAATTGCTTTTCAAAACAAAGATATACATATAGTTTTCCAGCTTGACTTTTGAGTGTTTCGTATCTATTTTGGAATTATTGTCCCAAGAACTTTGGTAAGTTCTTGGGTAAAAAGCAAATCTTTTTGATAGGATATGACCAATATTGACGTCATTTAAAAACAACCCTGTATCATTTTAGCCATGACTCATTCTCTCTGGTTCTTGTAAGATATTAAAATAAATTGTACCTTTCCATTTTCCATCTCTGATTTTACACTGATCATGTTTATCATTTATTGCTAAACAGTTGTATTCAATTACTGTGCTCAGTTCTATTCAATTACAGAGCTTCAAATATGTAATTGTTAAAGATGATGTAGATAGTTTATTTCGTAAATTGAAGTCAGATTTTGATAAATGAGAAACTATTTTGTAAAAAGAAAAGAATAAAAATCTATCTTGAATAATGTTAGAAGGATAATATTTCCTTAAGTTGGATCAATCTGTATGATGTATGATGGAAGTTTGACTTTTAAATATTTCATTTCTTTAATATTACTGTCACTGACTATGCCTGATCAAAATATTGTGGTGTGTTTTTGGGTGTTGGGGGGGGGGGGGTATAAAAAGTATAAAAGACACATGTAAATTAAAATCCTGCATCCATAGCCTCTGAGGGTGAGCAGAGCATCTATGGACCTTTGTTTTGACTTGAATCCTGAAAACTTAAAATGTTCTGTTTTGGGTTTTTTTTTTAGCTTCACTTTCTAAGAATAAAGGGGCTTCTTGTCGACCCTTCTTGGCTTGCTTGGTGTCAACTTGGGTTTAAGTATTTTCTTACACCCACTTCAAAAGTATTCTACTTAAACTTGGATACTTGTTCATTGTCCATTTTCAAAAGAGCAGATAATCTGTCAAGTTTTTGAACAGTTATGCCCTTTTTTACTTAGAAAGTCATATTGAACTGGTTGTTTTTCTGTTTATTCCCCCACTTTAGTTTCAAAAATCAATTTTGAGTTCGCTTTGATAACTTTTACTTTACTTGAATCTATCACGGGCCAATCATTAACAGAAAGAGGACATAATTTCGGTTTATTGGGAAGCAATGTTTGCCCCTTTTGGACCTTAGAAAATACATAGTCTTGGGTAAAATCCACTATTGCCTGGTACCTTTATTGTATTTACTTGAAAATTAATTGCTATTTCACATCATTACCCCCATCTGTACGCAAGAGAAGGTAACTTTGTCAAGGATTTGTTTTAAAAATTAAGGCCTTTTATCGACTTAGAATCTTGGTTAAGTTTTTAGTACCAGTCCACTTTTTGACTGAACTGTTTGAGATATTAATTTGAAAGTTGGAATACTTGTTTACAATCATGATTCCCAAACATGTCCAGGAGAAGGTAATTCTGTCAAAGATTTTATTTGAATTATGGCCCTTAACTGTCAATGTTTTGTATTATAGGCAAGCACTAAAAAACTTAAAAAAATCTAAAAAAATTCATTCCTATCCACTTGTTCACTTTACCATAAATTATGTCATATAAACATTGCTGTAATATTCAAGGGTATCAAACAACTAGTTATTTTTTCTCTTTTTGTACTTGAAATTAAAATCAGTAGTATATGCATATTTCACATTTTATCTCGCCTATTTGATTGGTGGACAAGTGACCAGCTACAGTGTTCAAGGGTCTATCACACAATTCAGTAAAATAATTCTTCACTAAATATCTTAATGCTCATGGCCATTGTTCACTTTAAAAATACAGAGATTCTTGTATTGCCTTTTACTGCAAAAACTTTTTTTATTGGCAAGCAATAAAAAAGTCGAGCGCGCTGTCTTACGGACAGCTCTTGTTTGTTTTGTTTTGTTTTGTTTTTTTTAGCTCCACTTTAAAAGAACAAAGGTGGGGCTTTTGTCAAGACCCTTTCATTGGCTTGCATTGGTGTTAAACTTGTTAATGTCTATTTTCTATTCACTTCAAACTTGGTATACTTGTTCATTGTCATGAAAGGATGCCATTTTCAAAAGGGCAGATAATCCTTAAATTATTTTATGCAAAGTTATGCCCCTTTTTCAGCTTAGATTTTCTCTACAAACTTCATAATTATCATATTTGAACTGGACTTGTTTTAAATAAAGCAGTGGGTGTTTATTTTCCTACTTAGTTTACACAAAATCAATTTTAGTTCGCTTGTGATAATTTATACTTTCACTCTCGAATCTATTACTGAGACCAAACAGTTAACTTAGTAATGAGTATAAAGTTTCTTTCTCATTAGGAAACAAGTGTTTGCCCCTGATGAGTTGGACCCATGTGGCCATCCAACCTAAGATTACAAGTCTGGTGCCTAAACCACTCTGCCATGGTGCCATTTATTTGTAATTTTTACTCTGAAAATCACAGTTACTTATGACAAAGCAGGCAAATACTGGCACAGAATATTATAAGGAAACTGCCAAGTTACAGTACTGTAACATTATAACAAGGTGGGTGTGAACCTTAAGCGAAGTAGGGTGATAAATGACTATGCATCTGCATTAGTTTTCTAAGAGATTTTAAACCTATCCTATTTCATGTATTTCTGTGCATAGCATCATGCATTATTAAGTAGCCATTAAAGACATTTTTCTTTCTCTATTACTCAACATGTATTAGAAAATAAAAACAGATTCCATGTCTTGCCAAACCTTGTTAAACTTTAATGTGTTGCCAGCAGTGAAACTTTAAAAAAAAAAATATTAAGATGTGTACTGTATACTTCCTAATAAATACTCCATAATGGTGCTGCATTTTTAAATAAAAATATTCCATCGCAATTGGTTTGTTTGTTTTGCATCAGGATTTAAAAGATTTTAATTTGTCATATCATGGTGGTCAATACACTAAACTGGCTTTCTTGGATAACTAACCAATGTTCAACTGATTTTTTCTGAACAATTTTCTATTATAAAAGCAGAAAAAAGTATAACTCACAATGTGGCTTTATGATTACAAATTGTTTGAAGTTGTATGCAAAGTTCAGAAACATTCATGTGAAACTTCATCTTCTCCATTTGAAATCCCACGATATACAGTGCAACCTCTGGTAAGCGGCCCTCCAGAGAGCAATAACCTCTACACAACAACAGACTCAATTCTTCCTATAGTAAAACTTCATAACAGATTTAATGCCTCTCAGAAACAAACCAAAGTCTCTGTCTCCCAGAGGGCATTGTTCTATAAAGATATACTAAATCAAATCATTATTGTCTGTCTTTATATAATTATATGATAGTAATCATTCTTTTTTACTCTCATTCTCAGTAACAAGTGCTCCACTGATACTTTCAGTACTTTGATTACATAATATATTAAGCAAACTGAAGTTCTCCTTTCTGGTGCTGAAACATAAATAGCAAAACACAGTGTATATCCTATGAAATGAGTGAATATGATAATATTGGGACTTGTTCTAGTGGATAGGGTATTGTCTGATATTAGAAATAATATATGAAGGTTTCACTGTGCCAAGTTATTGAATTAAAAGGTTAACTCCTATGTTGATGAATTCTGACATTTGGACTTTCAACGTCCATAACTGGAATTGTCTTTTGTCTATTTTTGGTATGTATGTCAAGATGCAAATTTAAAAAGTTGATTAGCAAAAACTATTGAGTCTGGTCGGGCTGCATGGATTTGCAGACTGACTGGTTTTATACTTGGCAATGGCTGTTTTATATTTGTATCAGCTTTTCAACTTACAAGTAATTAAGCAAGATCTTAATGTTAATAATTGGTCCATTTGAAGCAGTGTTTGGCAGAAGCATTAGTGCTGTCTAAAGAAATTTTGTGTGACAGTGAGCATTTCTGCTTTCATTAGTCACTCTGGTCCTTTTCAGTCATGGGTGATTAGTGTGGTCAAAAGTGCACCTTTCCTGACTTGGAACATTTGTAGATTTTATACATGGGTCATTGTTGTTCTTTATGATTCCATTCAAGCATAGACCAGAAATACTACCAAAAGCAAATATTTGTAGCTGTCAGTTTATAATGTTCTCTGACATGGATTATAGTTGCTGTCAATGGTAGGCTTTCCCTGTTGCTGTCAATGGTAGGCTTTCCCTGTTGCTGTCAATGGTAGGCTTCCCCTATTGCTGTAAATGGTAGGCTTCCCCGCTTGCTGTAAATAGTAGGTTTTTCCTATCACTATCAATTATAGGCTTTTTCTGTCTCTGTTAATTGCAGGCTTTTCCTGTCAATAGTAGGCTACTCCTGTCACTGTCAATGGTAGGCTACTCCTTTCACTGTCAATGGTAGGCTATTACTGTAACTGTCAATGGTAGGCCTTTTCTTTCACTGTCAATGGAAGGCTATTACTGTAACTGTCAATGGTAGGCCTTTTTTTGTCCCTGTCAATGGTAGGTTCCTGTAACTGTCAGTTGTAGGCTATTTCTGTAACCGTCAATGGTAAGCTGTCACTGGCAATGGTAGACTTTTCCTTTCACTGTCAATGATGGGCTCGTCCTGTAGCTGTCAATGATTTTCTTTTCCCTGTCAATGGTATGCTTTTCCTGTCACTGTCAAAGGTAGGCTTTCCCTGTGACTGTCAATGGTAGGCTTTTCCTGTCACTGTCAAAGGTAGGCTTTCCCTGTGACTGTTAATGATAGGCTATTACTGTAAATGTCAATGATAGGCTGTCACTGTCAATGGTAGGCTATTTCTGTAACTGTCAATAGTAGGCTTTTGCTGTTAATGTCAAGTGTAGGCTATTTCTATAACTGTCAATGGTAGTCTATTCCTGCCATTGTCAATGGTAGGCTTTTCCTTTCACTATCATTGGTAGCTTTTTCCTTTTACTGTCAATGGTAGACTTTTCCTGTGAATGTCAATGGTAGACTTTTCTCCTTTTACTGTCAATGGTAAAACCTTTCAAGCCATGGAACAGAAGAGCTGTCAATAGTATATATATAATGTAAAAGTAAATAAAATGATTTGACAACAGCCTGTGTTTTCTGAGGCTGACAACTGTATATTTTGACCTTTGCAAAATAGAAACATTTCAATTAAATGATACAGCTGGTAAAAAAGCTTTTAAAAGCCACGAACAAAATGATAAAAAAAAGTACAAAGGCAACACAATGAAAACAAAGAAATATTGAATATGTGAGTGCGTGGTACCGTAGAAAGGTTGCATAAACAGAAATCTATAATTGTGTCATATGTAATACATTTTCTACAATGTAAGCAACAGCAATAGAAACATATGGTGCCATAGAAATTATGCAAATATGAGGAAATTCTATATCAGATTGTTGGACCGACACTGCCCATTGTATGATTTATTTCTTTATTTACCAAAACAAATCATCAAAGCTTCATAGATAATCATAAGTGTGATTTCATTATAGTGGCTTTCAGAGTGAGTAGTGCGAAGTAAAAATAATGTAGGAGTTTGAGAATCAAATTAAAAATCTGCTGTCCTCTAACACAATTTTCTTAAGGTATTGAAATTTGGACAATTGAATTCTATAACAGATTAACATTTGTACCATTGCAATTTAGTTTAAGACACTTCTTTTTAGCTTGACTATTCGAAGAATATTCAGTCAGCTTATAATTATTCTCACCCTGGCGTCATTGGTTTATTTTTTTGGTACAAGTTGATATCTTCAAAATTACTGATAATCATGGGTAATAACTTCACACACTGTTCTCAGTTATTATCTTGCATGATGGGCATAGGTCCCTTTTTGAGTTACCTGTTTACTGAGTTGTACCCCATTTCTTACTGTCAATCACTGAGAATAGTCAGTTACACTGACCTACAAATAGCTCTTGTTTTAACTCAGACTTTACACTATCTGGATACAATAAGATTGTAATAATACTGAGAATAAGTGTGAGTTCAACAGTATGTCCTAGTAAAATCAACTGAAGCAGTTCTTAGATAAACTTAATTATGTACCAAGGTAATAACCCGATTATGTCTAGATGAGTCGTAAAAGCTGGACTAGCATATATATTTTGTCTTTAAGTTCAAAGTAAGTGAACATTGGAACAGCATTTTAAAAATTATCTTGCTCACTGAACTGGAAATTTCAAGTTTCATAATTTTGTGGCACAGATTTCATTTCTTTGAGTCTGATTTGATAAAGTTTATCCAATTTATAAGAAAGATATATGGTTGATACAACAAATTTTGTAAGCATTGTCATTACTCATTGTTTTGTTCTCTCCTATTATGTAAAACCATTGTTCTCTGCTAATATATTAAATGTACAGAATTGATCACCTCCCCCCCCCCCCCCCCTCCGAACTTTCCAGCAGTATTTAAGAACAATATAGATTAAAGTTCAAGTATTTATTTTATGGCAATAAATTTCGGGAGAAGATTGTAAATGATAGAAATTATAGGGCCCCATGTGTTTGCTAATCTTTAAGATAGTTTCTGAAATTACAGCGTGTCCCCCTGGGATCCGAGCAGGTTCTTATGATAGGTTTTAACAAGCTAAAGTTTGCACTGAAATAGTTATTAATCCATTGATTTTGCTAGTATTACATGGAATTACATGCTATTAAGAAGAAATATTCTTGCGTAAATTTTGGCATTGTTTCAAGATTTTCACTTCATTTTAAAGTCTGGAAGGAGGAGGAAAAACATATTAGTAGAAATTTGTCTGTGGCTGCTTCTTGGGGATGAGTGTAATTGTCTGTTGTAGTTGTTGTTGTTAAGAAGCAGGAAATGTATTCTGTAGGTTTTGGGTTAAGATAAACAGTAATGCTTAAATCTTAAACCTATTGAAGGCAACTAATTCTACCCATGCGACCAGTGCAGACCAAGATCAGCCCGCACATCCGTGTCATGTGATCATGGTCTGCACTGTTTGCCATTCAGTTACAATATATTTTGAAATTTTCTCTATATAAAAAAGGATTAATGGTTTTGTCCAGATTGTAAGATGGACAAGTCTATTAAAGATATTTAGGGGTTTTTGGGGGTGTAAAATAAACTTGTTTCTTGTCATGGAAAAAGGTAGTTGTCATGGATAATGATGCTTGTTTGTCATTTTTAGGGACAAAAATGTTTGTAGTTGTAAGATATAAAATTCTTTACCTCTTGTTTGTAGTTGGACAACATGCAATAAGATATTTGTATACATGTTTCTATTTGAAAGGGTTTGCAATGGTTGTTTATGGATAGAATGGCATGTTAAGTCAGTCATATTTCATTATAATAAAACATACAAATTTATGTATATTTCAGTGACCCCCTGGTGATTTTTTCTGGTGGGATGTCGTATGATCGTGCTGGGCGGACCCCTTGTATAACTGTGATGTCTGGTAAAAATACCACTGTACTAGAAATGGAGCATACTATCATAGACTTTGTAGTTCTATGTGAAACTCCTTGGCAAAATGGTAAGATTTGTTCATCCATTTATAATAATATTATGTTGAGGAAGAGTGTGTTATTTCATTGTTGGACAGCTTTAACCTATGTAAATAATGGTGTTTAAGTCATATGTTTGTATACAGTTAACTTATGTTTGTATACAGTTAACTTTTAACAAGTAGTTTTGGATTCTTCACTAGTATTTACCTGTATTTGAAAAAAGCTGACATTTTCTACGCATTTACAAAGCATTTAGCTCAGTATAATACAAGAATACATGGTTGTCTGTATAGAGAGTATGAAAGATAGTTGGAGACACTAAAATCATTTGAGGAGACACTAAAATCAAAACGCAATAACACCTATAATTTTAAAATGTACAGTTTTATCAGAGGAGCAACTTATTAGTTTAATATATGGAAATAAGCCTATTAAAGTTTTTTTATCAGCTCAATGCAAGACTATATAGGTTATAACTTAGCAATTAACTGTTATAACCCTAAATTTCAAAAATGGACTTGCCCATCTTTCAATCTGGACTAAACCATTCCTCATGTTTAGTAAAAATTTCAAAATATATTCTGACTGAATAGCAGTGATAACAGTACAGACAATGATCAGTTGGCACGGAGTCTTGTCTATACTAGTCACATGGGTAGAATCTGTTCCTGCCAGCATGCTTAGGGTTAATGTACATGTAAGTAGTTTAAGGTTATTTCAAGAGCACAGAACTGTATTGCTTCTGTTTGATAATATTTTTATTTTTGTTCTTTCAGATTTCCAAGACCCTTATGCAATTGCCGTGTTATTACAAAATGACCTAGTTGTTATTGATCTCACTTCTCAAGGGTAAGTGTAACTACCACATAATGTTCAATAGAAATGGTAAATGCTGAATAAAATAAGGTCAACATTGTGTGCAGAATGCTAATGGCAATTATAACAGACCTATACAAGCTTAACAGACCTATACAAGCTTAACAGGTCAGTCAGAAAATCTGCTTAGTCGGCATGATTTGTTCGCAGCTCAAATTCTTAGATACCATTAGCTTATATACAAGAGTCCGAAATAAAAGTGGGGAAAAGTCTGTTAAGGTCTGAACATAATGACTTTTTGCTGATATTTTTTGCCAATGGTCGAATATTTCATAATTATCTAGGTCCCAAATGACCTCAGTTTTAAATATTATTCCCAAATGACCTCAGTTTTAGATATTATTCCTAAGTTACCTCAGTTTCAAATATTATTCCTAAATTACCTTGATTTCAAATTGTATTTCTGAATGACAGTGGTTTCAAATGCTATTACAGATAAAGTTAATAAAAAAGACATGACTATAAACATATTAAAAGCAGCGAAATAAAAAAGACATTACTATAAACATATTAAAAGCAGCAAAAAATACGAGATGAACAAACAAACATAGTATTCATGTTACATAATGACCGTAAGTGCTTATTTGTAAGGAAATTCAGCAGTGCTTTAACTAGTTGTTTTTACACATTTAAAAGAGAAATAACTGTTACACAATCTAACCTCTGTATCTATATTACAGGTATCCGTGTTTTGAGAACCCCTATCCAATGGATATTCACGAGTCCCCCGTTACAGCGTGCCAATATTTTGCAGACTGTCAAACCGACCTTATACCAGCCCTTTATTCTGTCGGCACTTCTAAACACAAACGAACTGGATTTAGTGAAAAGGTGTGCAATATATGGATTTAAGTAATACAAGTATTCCTTAAAAGTGCAGGTTTTAGTGCTGTGTGGTGAAAGTGTTTGGAATTCTCAATGGATTATATTTCTGTTTTCATTTATTTTTTCCAGTCTTATTTTATATAGAAATTTAATCTTTGGTGAGGTCCTTTAATTACGAAATTTGGCAATAAATTGCCAAAAGGTAACTTCAGGATTGCAATGCTTAGCCATACTGTTTTCAGCCATAATGATGCATGACATTAATAGGTAAGAAAGGTATACTATACTGTATTATCAGTTAAGAGATGATAAACTGAAGTTTCAATTTACAAGGTTGTAAAGGTAAGTCAAAATTGTAGTCTCTGTCACCTTAAAGGGTGAAATTTGTGCAATGTACTATATTTGCTTCAAATTTAGAACTGTTCAGTGCGGAATTTAAGAAATAATCAATATGCTAGTAATATGCACCCAGTTATAGTGGCATTTGCAAACAATTAGTTTGGTTTATAAAGAATTTATTTTAGTTTGAGCCACACTTCAGTTCATGTACTGAGACATGAGGAAAGTTCCTTGCTTAAGGAAACAATGACTTGCCTCTGACTGGGTTTGAACCCATGTAGCTATTGATCATTACTAGTCGGATACGTTAACCAGTCTGCCATGCTGCCACTAAGTTTAACTTTAACTATTTCAGTTTCAAGCTAGAATATTAAGTGTGTATAACAAAGACATTGATTTTCACCTTTAACTTACGGAATTTTTTTGTATTGGATTTGCCCAGCTTTGAATTTGGAGTAGTCCATTCAAAGTTTAAGGGATTTCATATGTGAGCTACAACAGTAATTTTGAATTCTTAGGATAAATCACAATACATGTAGCTTTCTTTGGGGGGGAAAATCTGAAATAACTTATTGGTTTGGTTTATTCATAAACAATGATCGAGACAGAAATTCTGTGCTGGGTATTATATAGTCAGATGGCAGGGCGAAATCAGTAATATCTCAGAATTATTGTGTTTCTCCCAGACATTTAGGTATGGTCGGAAATAATTGCTACAGATAATTTATAATAATGTTTGAATAATTGTTGTAGATAATTTGATATACAACTAGTGTTTTAGTCATGTTTGACAGATGTATGATTATTTGTGTATTGAGTCATGTAAAGATGCAGTCCCATGTTTCATATGCTCACATAATATTGTTAGATTTTCATGACCTTTGCAAAGAAAAAATATGGTCTGGTTGCAAAAGATTGCTTTTGTTTTAGTTCTAGATTATAACTTCTGTCAAAAGGCAGTTCGTAGTAATGGCTTGTGACTTTTTATCACTTGCCTAGGGGGGTCATCTGAGGTATTCTCCCACCCATGAAACTGTGTCAGTGTGGCTTGTTATGCAGTCAAAAATAGAAAATAAATAAAGAAGTTACTGTTAAACTTAAAAATACATAAATTGATATATTTTGACTAACCTGAAGCTGTCATCTTGAAACACAAGATAGATTGATTTACGACCAAGTTAATTATAAACAATAACCATTATTTTTTATGCCCCCATATATACATGTCTACATGTTACTTTGTATATAGAAAGTGTTTGTAAGAGAATATGACAACTCTCTAAAATGTTTGTGTAAGCTACAAGATCATTAGATATTTTCTTCAATGGTAAAATAATACCAAAAGCATTTTCAAAATAGGAAAATTTTACAGTAAATATAGACTGTCCATTAAAAATGTTAGAAACGGATTTTGGAAAATTTCAGCCACTTCTTTGCAATTAAATAGCAAGTGCAAGGATTACTATGTAACACACATTGACCATAGTGTTCTATATAAGATATGTTGCCATGGTGTACTATATAACACATCCCATCATGGTGTACTATATAATACCTTTCATCATGATGCACTTTGTAAGTCCTGTCAACATGGTGTACTTAATAAGACCTTTCATCATGGTGTACTACATAAGACCTGTCATCATGGTGTACTATATAAGACCTGTCATCATGGTGTACTATATAAGACCTGTCATCATGGTGTACTATATAAGACCTGTCATCATGGTGTACTATATAAGACCTGTCATCATGGTGTACTATATAAGTAAAGACCTTTCATCATGGTGTACTATATAAGACCTTTCATCATGGTGTACTATATAAGACCTGTCATCATGGTGTACTAAATAAGACCTGTCATCATGGTGTACTATATAAGACTTGCCATCATGGTGTACTATATAAGACCTGTCATCATGGTGTACTATATAAGACCTTTCATCATTGTTTACTTAACCCTTTCCCTTATGAGCATATTGTGAAAAATGGCTGTTTTCATTGAAAAGCCTCCTGTTACAAGTTCAAACTGCTATGAAACTATGAATGATGCTTCAATACTAATCAAACTTGGCACAAACGTTGACTGGACCATTGCCTTTGTAACAACATGCTCAGTCTTAAATTTCCTGTTACCATGGCAACAAGGGGAGGTCTCAAAATTGCTAAAGATCACTGTTTTGCCTTGATTTTTTCCATCAAAATTTATTTCAAAGTGCTGCGACTTATCAAGGGTTTGAGATAGGGTCAAAGGCTTTTCAGCGTTGGTTACATGTTACCTTATGATCGACCTGTGGTCATTTTCAGCCTGTCACAAGTCAAAAATTTTCTTGGCGATGAGGGGGACTACCGCCCCCCTTCAAAACCCCCAAACAGAAGGGGGCACATCCCCCTTCTCGCAACCCCCTGATGTATCTTTTGGATGGGGGGGAGCGGCGGCGAAAAAGTACTCACTTTTTTTAGCAACATTTCTCAAACAAAAAACATGTGTTTGGGGCCAAAATAGGACATTTTTTCACTATTTGAGGCCTAAAAGAGTGGGGGGGGGATAGAAAGTGCGTTATTTCGCGTATATACACTTCAGCCTCATTAAAACGCTCATATTGGGGTCCAATGTCTCAACACCGCGTTCTAACGAGGCTCTCATTAGAACGCTCATTGCAAAATTACCGCATTACCCCACCCACTGCATATATATATAACGCTGATTTTTTTACTTACTGTTCAATGAATATCGACATTATCTTTTTCTAAAACCATTCAATGATGTAAACATATATCATATTCACAAATAATACTAATTATATATAAAAGAAAGGAAAAACTTTTGAAAGAAAATTATAAATCATGAATGTAGTGTAAAACAGACCTGTAGCCATTACTGTAATGACGTTTGATTAACTAGGGGACACAACTAAAGCTGGACTGTAAATAACATTGTAATTTACAGTCCAGCTTTAGTTGTGTCCCCTAGTAAATCAAACGCCAATTACTTCCTGTCATGGTCGCTCTATTTTACAGTGCAGGATTTTAAATTTATTTTGGGCTTGTGGGTTATTTAATTCAGCGAGGTTTACATGTCAAAGATATGTGTGTGAATTTTAGTTTATTTATACTCACCACCGAATGCCAATGTAACAGTTATGATATAGATTTGAGATTTTGGAAACAATTTGAAGACAGGTAAAACAACAAAAGAGCGGATAAACGCTTACCTGGGCATGTTTTTCACACCTTTGGCGATCATAAATGTCCTAATAACAATTGTTTATTGTACTTGGCTATCAAATTGAGCAAGCGTTATAGCGCGCTATAAATCTAAGTCTACTTAAAAAAAAACATTTTTTGGGGGGGGAAGTTTTTTTTTTTTTTTTTTTTTTTTTTTTGGGAGCCAAGGTCTATGAGCACTCTACTGAGATTAGCGTTATAGTGAAGAGCGAGTTATCGAGGCTACAGTGTATATGAGATAAAGGGTTAATAAGACCTTTCATCATTGAGTACTATATAAGACCTGTCATCATGGTGTACTTTATAAGACCTCTTATCATGGTGTACTATATAAGACCTGTCATGGTGTACTATTACGACCTGTCATCATTGGTGTACTATATAAGACCTGTCATCATGGTGTACTATATAAGACCTGTCATCATTGTGTACTATATAAGACCTGTCATCATGGTGTACTATATAAGACCTGTCATCATGACTATATAAGACCTGTCATCATGGTGTACTATATAAGACCTGTCATCATGGTGTACTATACAAGACCTGTCATCATGGTGTACTATATAAGACCTGTCATCATGGTGTACTATACAAGACCTGTCATCATGGTGTACTATATAAGACCTGTCATCATGGTGTACTATACAAGACCTGTCATCATGGTGTACTATATAAGACCTGTCATCATGGTGTACTATACAAGACCTGTCATCATGGTGTACTATATAAGACCTGTCATCATGGTGTACTATATAAGACCTGTCATCATGGTGTACTATGTAAGACCTGTCATCATGGTGTACTATATAAGACCTGTCATCATGGTGTACTATGTAAGACCTGTCATCATGGTGTACTATATAAGATCTGTCATCATGGTGTACTATATAAGACCTGTCATCATGGTGTACTATATAAGACCTGTCATCATGGTGTACTATATAAGACCTGTCAACATGGTGTACTATATAAGACCTGTCATCATGGTGTACTATATAAGACCTGTCATCATGGTGTATTTCAAAAAACATGTTGTCTTTGAATAGTCACTCTACTAGGGACCTCTAAATTACTCCCTCTAGGAGGCAGGTGAAATTCATGTGTACATTTTAACATATTTAGTATTTTTGCAGAAAGTTCACAAATTTTTAAGTTAAAGTTTCTGTACACAGTTCTGCCATTTATACTTGATATGTGTCAGCATTAAATGTACTATTTCATCAAATAACAACTAAGTTCTTGTGAATCACATATAGGTTTGTTTTTTCTCCCAGGAACAACTTGCTTCAGAAAAGTGACAAAATAGAATGTAGGGAAAATGAATGGGAGCTGTTATATAATAGCCCATAATTGGATTACTGCTGAAACTCGTTTATAGTTCTTGTGAAGCATATAACTGTAAAAGATGAACTGTTAAAGGTCAATTTGATTTTATC